ATTCAGACTTCCATTTCATAAACCTGCTCTTCTAATTACAGTGACTTTTATACTTTATTTTTTTTTTCTACTTAAGATATTTTTTTTCCTTTTTTTTTCTTTTATTGGGAACACTCCTGCACTGCTGGTGGGAATGTAAACTAGTACGTTCCTTTTGGAAAGACATCAGGAGAACACTTAGAGAACTAAAAATATACTTTATTTTTTAAAAAATAGGAGAGTAGCTTATTTTTTTGCCTCTTGAATAGAGCCATTCACTTAAATTAGTGTGAACCAGTAATTATGTAAGTGGGAGAGCACCAGTGCGTGGCCTATGGGTTCTGCACCGTGGGTGCTCCCAGGGCTGCTGAGGGCGTCAAGTCCACCCCAGCCACTGGCTTTGGGTTCATTCGTGTTCTGCAGTGAGTTTAGATGTGGAACTGTTGTCTTGAACAATGAATGCAAGATTAATATGCTAGATGGCAAATAAATACATACTAAGTACCATTTAGTAGGATGCTTTTTAAAGATTTACATGTAATCTACTTGTTATTGAAGGGAGATGTTGAGAATTCATCGAAGTGTTTTTATATAATAGTGCCATGATCAAGGCTGGGTTAGTTCTCTGTAATAGTCTTTAAATGAAGAGCTAGTGGAGGACTGGGATGCTTTGCTCCCTGGTTTACTCAGTAGTCAACCTGAACAGCAGCAGGGCTTCCCAGGTCCTTTTCTGGCCCTGCCTTTGAGGTTCTCAATGCCTGAAAGGAGGGGCAGCTCCTTGTAGCAGGGCAGGGGGATGGGCTGGGAAATGTCTAACAACCAACTCTCTAAAGAAATGGCAGTTGTAATATAAATTTTACTTATATAAGGGATGCATAGTAGATACTTAAGATCATAATAAAATAGTATTCTGTAATGCAAATTTGATAAAGCCAGTGGATGGTCACAGGTGCTCTTGTTAATTTGGGCTTCATCCCTGAGCTTGCAGCCTCCCTGTGCCACGCACTTCTGACAGCTGTCAAGGAGGTTCCCCTTCCTGGCCAGCCTGTCGGGCGTCATCTTTTTGTCAGAAGTGAGCACTGGGAGAGCATTTCTCTCCATGTGTGCGTGTGGTTCACAGTGTTGTGGCTCCTGACAAGGCAGGCATTGTTCTCAGGACACATTGGATACGACCTATCTCAGGGATGGACTGGTCCTGTTTTGGTACAGCCTGCAATCTAAGAACGGTGCTTACAATTTTAAAGCATATTTAAAAATAATAGGAATAATATTTTTGTAATGTAAAAATGACACAGAATTCAAAGTTCATTGCCTGTAAGTGAAAGTGTATTGGAGCACAGCCCAGTGTGTGTGTCTCCTGCTTTCCTGCACAATGGCTGAGTAATTCTGGCAGACACCATATGGCCCACAAAGCAGTGAAATATTTACTTTTAGCCATCTATGGAACGTCGTTTGCTAATCCCCAATCCAGATAATCAGTAAGACAATAAAGTGTGCTCTGTCTTGCAAGCATTTGCTCATTTTGATGGTGAAAATGCCATAACTCTACCCAGCTGCAGAGTGGTGTGAATGTGGGGCTGAGGGGAGAGTGCAATCCTTGTGGGGTGTTCTGCCCATGGGTGGAGCCTGTCTGAACAATTCCAAGGGCATCTGTCCCAGGGAGATGACTAGGAAGTGCTAAGTGCTCAGTATTTAATCATAAAATAATATAATTAATTTTTTAAGATGGGTATGTTACTAACATTCCAGAAAATTTAACAGCTGGCTCTCAGGAGCCTGCATGAGCAAGTCTTAGGGCCCCAGGTGGGCACCACGCTGGAGGTTCCTGGAGGAGGCTGTGGGAGAAGGATTTCCCCATCTGCATCTTTAGTGCTGAGGCAGGCTGCCAGGGAATTGAGAGGTGAGACTTCTCTGCAGAGCAGAGAGCAGCTCTCAGGGTGCTGGTGAGCCAGTCTCACTATTCACTGGCCTGAGCACTGCAGGGGCCCAAGGAAGCTGCTGGATTCCTCCTAAACTGAGCGCTTAAATAAAAACACAGAAAAGACTGTGGCTGGTGTCTATTCAAAACCAAAATCTTTTTCCTTTTCCTTTTTTTTTTTTTTTTTGAGGCAGAGTTTCACTATGTTGCCCTTGGAAGGGTACTGTGGCATTACAGCTCACAGCAGCCTCAAACTCTTGGGCTTAAGTAATTCTCTTGCCTCAGCCTCCCAAGTAGCTGGGACTACAGGTGCCTGCCACAACGCCTGGCTAATTTTTGGTTCTAGTTGTCATTGTTTTTTGGCAGGCCCGGGCTTGTAGCGGTGCAGTACCCCACGCTAAGACATGGCAGTTTAGCTTCATGTGCTCTCCACGGAAAATGGCTTTAAGGTGGAATTCTTTTTCTCTGAGGACTTGTCTAGGCCTGCAGAAATGCAGAAACGTTCTCAGTTCTCACAAAAGAATAAACGGGAGGAAGCTGGAACACCTGTCCAGGCACTGGGCTGCACTCTGCTCCTCCCCCCTCATTGACATTATAATCACTCCTTTGGTTTAGGGAAAATGGACTAACAGAGCAGACAACTTGGCTCCCTTATGTTTTAACCCCAAACAAAATCAATTGTATATGTGTTCAGCAGAGAGAATTGTAATCTTTTTTTTTTTTTTTTTTTTGAGACAGATCCTCAAGCTGTCCCCCTGGGTAGAGTGCTGTGGCATCACAGCTCACAGCAACCTCCAACTCCTGGGCTCAAGAGAGTCTCCTGCCTCTGCCTCCCAAGTAGCTGGGACCACAGGAGCCCGCTACAACGCCTGGCTATTTTTTGGTTGCAGCCGTCATTGTTGTTTGGCAGGTCCCAGCTGGATTTGAACCCACCACCTTAGGTGTATGTGGCTGGCGCCTTAGCCACTTGAGCCACAGGCGCGAGCCGAGAATTGTAATCTTAATGGTAGTTTCCTGATCTTACTTCACTTCTTTTTACCTGTGTTGAACTCTTACTGAATGTTTGAGAGTATATAAGATAATCAGTAAAGTTGGGCAGGGTTGTTGTGCCATATTGAGCCTCGACCTCCCTTGATGACAGTCATTCCATCTTCAGTTTCCTTTCTCTGCTTCAACGAACAGAGGGCTCCAGGGAACACCAACAGGGCTGGTTTCGAACCTGCCAGCTCTGGTGTATGTGGCTGGCACCCTAGCCACTGAGCTACAGGTGCCGAGCCTTTTTCTTTGCTTTTTGACTTAAGATACCACTTTGACATTTTGTGATTGTGCTGTACTGTGTGAATATGAGGATGCAGGGGTGGGTGCTACCCTCTTTTCTGCCCCAAGGATGCTCTTCTAGGTGGCAGAGACAGAGAAGGCTGGCCTGCCTGCTGGGTGCCAGCATGTGCTCATAGCCTGCTCTTAGGAAAATAAGGAGGAGGACGGGTATGGTGATTCACACCTGTAACCCTGGCAGTAGGAGGCTGAGGCAGGAGGATCCCTTGAGCTCAGTCATTCAAGACCACGCTAAGTAACAACAAGACCTTGTCTCTACTATAAATAATCATGATAAAAAAATTAACCAGGTGTTGTAGTGGGTGTGGAGGCTGAGGCAAAAAGATTGCTTGAACCCAGGAGTTTGAGGTTGCTGTGAGCTATGATGCCGTATCACTCGAGCCTGGGTAGCACAGTGAGACTTCGTCTCTAAAAACAAAACAAAATAAAACACACACACACAGAGGGTGGACATAAAGTTTGTGTGTAATTTAAAGTTACAACTATTTTATATTTATGTATATATACATATAAAAGATGAAAGGGAAAATCATTTTTCTCCCAAGGATGAGAAAGGCTCTTGGAAAGCTAAGTAGATGGAGGTACTTTGCTGGAGCTGGCAGGTGGAGGGGTGGGGGAGAATCGTTTCAGTACAAATTGCAGCTCACCTGCCCTGGGATGCTGCTTTGAAACTCTGCAAAGAGGTTTCTCAGGGAACATGAGCATTCCAATGCCTGCTGTCATCTGCTGAGGGCTTCCTACAGAAAGCCCAGGCAAGGGCAGGGGTCTGGTCCTCTGGGACCCACCATGTACACAGAACGGGAGGAAAGGACGCTCAGAGGGGCCTGGTGACCTTTGTTTGCTCTGAGTGTCCAAATGTGCCCAATTGTGAAAGTCACACATCTTCCTTGTTTTAAAAGCCACCAATTATATGACCATCTACCATGGTAAGACTCAACCAGTACAGTTGAGGGCCTGGAGGCGGCCGGGAGGGATCCTCAAAGCCACATGGGGCTCCCCCTGGGCTGTCAGGATGTTGGCTGGGCTCAACAGGGGCCTAGCCCTGGCAGGGTGTAAGGATGTCAACAAAGCCACCTGTGACATCAGCGTCACCTCCTGCGGGGCTTGGTGGGGTCAGTACAGTCCCAGCCTACGGAGAGAGGAGCACAGCCTTCGGGACCAGAAGCCCTGTCATGCCTGCCTGGGGACGCTATAAGACACTATGTAAATACCGCTGGGCCGTATAGCTTTATTCTGAAACATCTTTTGTTTTCATTATAAACACGCTCAAGTTTCTGAAATAGCCATGGCTCTTAGAATACCCTCCTTTAAGTTTTTATTTTCCTTTTTTAATAAGTGTAGATCATACGGTCAGAGGAGTCCTAGAATGGAGATAATATAATAATAATTCTGTAGTTTAAAGTAATACTACACTGATTTCAAAAGCTAGTGGCAAAACTGCAAAAATATGGTATAATTTATTTCTGTAGCCTCTTCTGTTTTGTGGGCTTTTAAAAAGCATTGATTAAAGGTATTTATTTGATGTTGATAGAGTTTATATGTTTAGCAAAGCCTAAATAAATTCAGCTGTTATGTTGTAGTTGAACTCACTTTTCAACATTCATACTATTTGTATTTTAAAATGATTTTTGTGAAGTTCCAGTGTAGCTTTCTGTTGGACATACGAAGCAAAAATATTATCTGTGGACAGATAGGGAGGCTGTAGAGAAGTGCACTGCTCTGTCTGCTTAAAATCTTTGTTTTTCTTAATAGGTTAGAACTGAGTTAAAAAAAATTAGGTTTTAACTTGTAAGAGTTGTTAAAGAGTTACACATTTCTTTGCTGAGTGCAGTCAAAACAGAGGAAGGCCGCCAGGGACACATGGCAGACCCAGAGTCCTGGGGTGGGGGCCGGGGAGGCTCAGCAGAGCCCACACTTCCACGGGCCAGGCCCTGAGTGGAGCATTTCATGTCTTCATTTATGTTTTGATTTGAAGGAAGAAAACATCAAGGCGTGGGGTTGTTGAGAGAACCTTCGAGGAAGGGTAAGTTGCTCAACACTTTGCTGGACAGGCTGGCTTGCAGGGCCAGGGAGGAGCTCCCAGCAAGGGTCCTGGCAGGCTTACCATGGAAGGGTAAAGAAGGGTGTGGGGAAGGAGGACAGAGATGGGAGAGGTTTTAGGGAGCTGATAGGCCTTGTTTTGTGAGTGTATCCGCGTGCCAGATGCCTTGACCATGTTATTTTTATATACTGTGCTCTGCACCTGGGTAGGGGGGTTTTTGATTCTCCTTTGGGGAAGGAATCTGAGCATAGTGGACAGCTGGTAAGTGGCAGGCCCGGAATTTCAGCCTAAGTTGACTCCTTAGTACCTAAGCTCTTTCCCAAGGTACC